ATGGGGAGAGAGGAAGGAAGGGAGGGAGGGAGGCTTTGTGGCACCAAATTACTTTTAAAAAGATCTCAAAATTACATTCAAAACAAACTCAAGGGTTTTTTCTCTCTCCTGGAGTCACCAGCAACCAGGCAGGCAGGCAGAAGCCTCCATGTGGAAGCCAGCTCCTTCACTCCCCCGCCCCCCAAAAAACTCAAAATGAACTCAAGGGGCTTTTCTCTGCACCAGGACTCACAGGGAACCAGCCAAGCTGGTTCAAGGCTCCATGTGCATGCCCCCCCAAGAAACAAACAAAGAAACTTGGCTTATCTTGGCTTTCTCTGCAGTCTGCGTGCGCAGGAAAGCAGCAAAGCTGAAGCCACATGCAGCTTCCAGGCTCCAGCTGAACCGAGGGCTGCTGGGAGATAGGGGTGGGGCTTAACTTCCAGGAAGCAAGCCCCGCCCTGCCTGACTTCCCTCCCAGTCCCAACTCATCCGACAGAAAACAGAGGGGAAAACCCCTCCACTTTCAACGGGGAGGGGGGCTTGCCACACGGAGGATGTGCAAGGCTCTGGTCACCTCCGGGGGAGGCTCAGCACCTCCGTAAAAAGTTCAGGGGAAGGCTCCAGCTCCCCAACCCCCTCGAAGTTGACACCTACGCAATTGTGGCCAAGTTGGGGGTCCCACTTACACAGGATAAGACTGATTAATTTCACTGGATTTAGTACAAGGACCCTCAAGCCTCCCTGTAGAAAAATTAGTTGCCCTGAAAAGCCTGCTGTCCAGGGTCATAAGCAAGAAAAAGTGCACCTTAAAGGAAATTTAGTCAGTGCTAGGTCATCTGAACAGCGTTCCGTGCGCCTTGGTGTTTAGTCATGCCAGCCACATGACCACGGAAACGTCTTCGGACAGCGCTGGCTCTTCGGCTTTGAAACGGAGATGAGCACCGCAACTCTAGAGTCGGATTCGACTGGCTTTCGAGCAAGGGAACCTTTACCTTTACCTAGGTCATCTGAATTTTGCCTGCAAGAAAGTCTTCCCTGGGCTGGCTTTCTGTGCTCAGCTGGCTCAATCCATGGCTGGGGTAGATGAGCCCCATCATTACATCAGGATTACATGCCATATGCATGAGAACCTTTGGGTCTGGCAAGAATTTCTGAATCATTTTAATGGGGTTGCCATTTGGCAGACATCTCTGTTTCTTTTTTAAAAATATATTTTTATTTAATTTTTAGAAATAATAGACACACACATAAACACAAAGGCAAAAACAAACATAAACATTAACATACACGATGTTTCCTGTATACAGCGAGACAACTAGTAATAGATAATATTGCAACTGAGCACGCTTTTTTTTATAAAGACCTTCTTTTAAAATTTAACTAAATATATTCCAATTAACCTTCACAATTTAAAGTCAACATTTTTGATAAGGTTCTCACAATGTCTCAGATGGTCATTAACCACTAAATATCCTTTTTCATTACTCTGAAGAATTCCTATCCATATATTTTCAACATCCTTTGTCAATATCTTATTGCAACTACTATTATATACTTGTTTTCCCAAATAAATATCCACCAGTGGCATGAATTTACTATGATTTATAAACAGCTTAGCTTCCTACCTAATCACTCACCCCTTCCTTTTTAATCATTATTTATTCCAGCAGTTTATGAAATACGTATCACTGAAATTTTCACTTGTATACATTCAAAATGAGAAGCTGACTCTTTATCAAAATTAATTTCCCTCCCCTTCTCTATAATTCTATATCTAGCTTCCCATCTCAGTAACGCAATATCTAATTTTCACAGTTTTCAATGCCCTAACACCAATTATTCAATACCACATTATAACAGAAGCTCTGAATTTATCATTCCAATTAAACATAAATCAGCAAAATTAATATTTCATCCTTCTGATAACTTGATTTCTTCTCTTTAAAATTTATAGCTTACATTTTTCTAAACTTCCCCCTCTGTATTTCAGCCACGCTATTTCCAGTAATTTATTTACAAATAATCTAGTAAATACTTCATACATACAACATAACAAAAACAAGAGAAACAAACACACACACCCCAATAATTCCATTTTTCCAACAAGCATAGCATTTAACTCTTCGTCAAGGTTAATAATTTCCCCCCTTCTCTATAAGTCTATATCTAGTTTTCCTTCTCTATAACACAATATCTAACTTTTCACAATTTCAGTGCCTTAATACCATATCTCATTATAACAGAAGTCCTAAGTTCATAATTCCAGTAAAACTTAGATCAACCGAAATAATCTTTCATTCTTCAAATATTTCATTCTTCAAATAACTTGATTTTTCCCCTGAAAATTTGTAGCTTACATTTTACAATTAGTCCCAATGTCTTCTTTCTTTGTGTATGTGTGTATTAATTTCTATGCTCCCCCCTCTGTGTCTCAGCCATATTATATCCAGTCTTATATTTTCCGTCTTAAACTTCCAGGCATGCCGTTTTCGCTTCTCCCCCCCCCCCTTTCTCTCTTCTTTGCTAGAACTTCTCTGCTTATTCATTTTTATTAAGGGCAGACATCTCTGTTTCTGAAGGATTCTTTGTAAGTTCATTAAGATACTGCAGACACTTTGGGTTTTGGCATTTACTTCAGTAATCAGTGGTGTGCTAAACAGTGGCCTTCACATTGGGATTCTCAGGGACCTCACCTTTTTAGAATTTTTTCCAATTTTGGCTGCCATCTGCATGTGGCAGGATTTGTTTAAAGACTAGTGCATTCTGTTCTGGTGTGACAACCAGGCTGTTCTCAGAAGCCTTAATCGACAGACATCACGATCTGAGCAGGTCATGTGTCTTGTATGCAAATTTGTTGTTACATGCCTGGTTGCTAACATACCTTTCTCAGCAAAATACACTGCAGGCATCAATAGCTTCCAGGAGAAAAGGTTCAGAACTCTGGCCCCCAGCATGAATCAGCGACCGGATGTCTTTCCAGAGGACCTTTGGATTCTCGGCAACAATTAATCGTTCAGGGAGTCTTAGGGTCCCTTGCCCTCTCTACCTGTCGTGCTTAGGAACACACTGTCTCTGCTTTCTTGTCCTTTACAATGTCTGTTGGTTTCTCTAAACCTTTGACAGTCTTTGAGGTTTTGCTCCTGCAATATCTGGTGCACATGAAGGAATGCAGGCTCACCACTAAGACCATGTATAGTATAATAAACCTGGGTGTACATGTAACTTGGATGCAGAAGAGCGCCAACAGCCTATGGCCATTATCTGATCTGATGTAAGACCACATTCAGATGCGAGTGTAGCTGCACCAATCCGAAATGAGTGCACTCCAAAGTCCCCCAAGAGGACTTTGTCAGCCATATCATTTTACAGTAAGGCCCTGGGGTTTAGCAATCCCTGCGGCTCTTTTTTCACCCAACATGCCATAGAGGGTTGGAGAAGGTCCCCCAGATATGTTTTTTGGCTTTCAAAGCAACCCTCTTTAGGGCAGCATTTTCTTTAGCATTTTTCCGTGCATTTCACAGTAGTGAGTTGGTGGCTGCATCACATAGTGATACTAGTGATCATGTCCTTGCCCTCCAGGATATTTCAATTAGTAGTCCAGAGTTGTGTATTCAACTGCATAGGTCCAAGATGAGCCAGCATTGCCATGGAACCCATATCTTGCTTCATTCTGCTCCCAGACATCAACCCTCCCGTTTGTTACACCGCCAAATACCTTTCTATCCGGCCTAACATTTCTGGGATTTTTCTTGTGCACACCAACAACTCCTGCCTGTCAGTGTTTTCAGTTCATTAGTGCTTTGCGTGCATGCATCACAAAACAAAACCTTCCTTTGGGGGACTTTGGAGTGCACATGTTTCAGACTGGTGTGGCTATGTTCACATCTGGATATGGTTTTACACTGGATCAGATAATGGCCATAGGCTGTTGGTGCTCCTCTGTGTACAAGTTATATGTACACTCAGGTTTATTATACTAATCAGCTTGTTTTTCTAGCCTCTTTAGACACAAGAAAGACAGTTCTGGTCATTGGACAATGTATCGTGTTTTGAGTGAGCAACTATGCAGCACTGTCTGGATGGGATTCCAACTTGGGTTTCGGTGAACACCTTACACAGAGGAATTAAGTGGCCGTCTCTCCTTTCCACCATATCAGCTGAGGTTTTTTTGTCATGTCCCACCTCATGATGTCATCATTCAGCTGGGGGAGAATGATCTTCTGGCTCAGAAAGGCATTTTTCCCCATTCCATCATGGCCGACTTCCAGACTCTGCATCAAAGACTCCCCGGAGCAATGTTACTTTGGTCTTTTTTGCTTGAGCACTGTGAATGCAAGGGGGCGCTGGCACGAGAAAAAGTGGACTTGGCCAGGAGGAAGGTTTGCAAGGCTGCCTTACAATTTATTGACTCTTGGTGGGGAGGTTTTTACGCACTCCGATATTTCATTTAGACAGCCTGCTCTCCTTCAGGGGGATGATGTGCAATTCTCTGAGTAGGGCATGGATATCTGGTTACATGGGATCTGGGAAACTTTGTTGTGTTGGCTACAGGCTTAGGAGCTTCGGCAGGAGTGGGGCACAGAAGTCCCCTGCTCTTTGGGCACTGAGACAGATCCTTGGGGGGGACTGTGGCTGAGTGCCTGCCTCCCTCATTTTGGGAGCTCCCATAAGGGGCCTTGGGGTGTAGACCCACTCAGCCGCATGCCCAGGCAGAGGCTGCCAGCTAGCTTCCACCACCGGGTGGCAGGAGGATCGTGTACAGGCCAGTGTCCACATGTGCCCTTGTACCGTGTCACTCCACGGTTTATTCCCCAGCAGACAGGCTGGTGGGAGGTTCATTGGGCGGCAGGCAGGTTGGTCGATGCTTGGATCCGTCCCTATGCTGCACCGTTGCTCTTTTGTCTGTATTCAATAAAATAAGCTGTGGCCACGTTTTTACCAAAAATAGTTGTGTGTTTATTCCTTCCATTGCCTCACCCTCTATCCCTCCTTGAACTCCACAAACCAAAACACATTACCTTGGCAAGTTCAACTTTTAACTCTTCTCGCTCTTCTTCAGAAAGTGTGTTGGTAAAATCAACATCAGTGACCATATCTTCATCTGCCTCTTGCAATGCTTGTCTTTCCAACAGACCTTTGGAAACAAGAAACCATGACCAAAAATTTGAGGAGTTTCTGCAGATTGTGTAATACCAACATAGAGATGAAAGACATTGGAGATATCCAATTTTCTCGAATACCTAAAAATGTGCTTCTGTAACTCTTGATAACATGCTGTTTTCATGTAATTAGTCAGGCTCTTAACCAAAGAAAGTTTATAAATTAAAGGCCCTGTTTTAAAAGGGTCCAGGCTCAATCCCTGGCATCTCTATTTTAAAAAAAGATTAGGAAGCAGTGCTGGGAAAGACCTTGTTTTTCGTAAAATGTATCTAGAAAGTAAGAAAGAGTAATCAAAGTTGCTGAACTGTAACTGGCAATTTAGTAATAATTTTACAGTGGTATGCTTTGCTCATTTTAAATTAAAATTAAACAAATTGTGCTTTCTTACAATATAGCAACAAACATGGTCAATCTTTATTTCATCACAGGGCTGTCCCTAATTTAGGTTTTACTTTACCTCTGAACCTGGAGTTTGAGGTCATGATCAGGTGGCTAAAGCAACCTGAAGCTGGATCCAGACAAGATAAACATAATGTTGGTTGTGAAGGTTTCTGCTTTGGATGAACAAGATCCAGTGGGTTTTTACATTTGCAGAGTTCACATTTGCAGAGCAAGTTAAGAGTCTGGGGAAGGCTCATGGGCCCAGACTTGCCCTCTAAGAAGCAGACTGATGCAGTAAAAAGTTCCTTCTGTCAGCCACATCTGGTTTGACAACTCTCTCCTTCAGCCAACCTGGTTATGCTAATCCATGTCTTTGTAACCTCGCAGTTGGACTACTGTAACATGCTCTATGTAGGACTGCCCTTGAAAATGACCCAGAAACTGCAGTTAGTTCAGAATGTGACAGCTCAATTACTGTCAAGTGCTAGCTCATGGGAATGCACCTTGCCTGTATTAGAACAGCTCCATTGGCTGCCAGTCTGTGTCTTCCAATTCAACATTCTGGTTATAACCTTTAATATGTCTCTCTCCTTTTGTGCCAATCATGGATCTGTAGTTTCACCGCTTGTGTTTGTTTTCCTGTTTAAGGTGTCTCGCTTGGCATCTACTGGAACCTGTTCTTTCTCTATACCATCTTCAACTCTGTGGAAGAGGTTCCCTAAGGAACTGAGAAAGGGTACCATCCTACGGCTTTTAATGGGGTTTTAGCTGCTGGTTTGTTACTGAGTAAACAGGCTTTTATTGTATTACTAGTAGTAAAGCCCATTGTAAAAGGAATAGAACGTACGCTAGCAAGATCTTGGCCTCCCCCTCCCCCTTGGCTGCGTTCTCATCTATGGCGCTGGTCCTCGTCTGTACACAGCCCACCCTGCCACCTGCAGCTGTCCACAGGCAGCGGCGACCAGTGCGGCGGCAGTATGGTTGGCCTCGGCCTCCTTACCCTGTGGCTGCCGGATCGTTGGGCTTGTCCGTTGCCTCGCAGCACACCGAGGGCGAGAGGCTGCGCACCACTTCCATGGGCTCGCTGCCCGGCCAGCTCCCTGCACTCTGGCACAGCCGACAACAGCTGTGGTGCTGTCATGTTCGGCATTGGCCTCCGAAGCCTCCACCCGCTGGAGCGTCAGAGGACAGCCCTCACCCGGAGACGTGGCAGTGGGTGAAAGTCGACCCTCCCACATAGTCTGCCTTGTCTCCGGCAGACTCGACTTTCAGACTTGTCTCCCTGTGACACTGAAGGGTCTCTATGGCCAGATGGATGTCTCCCTCCCTCCCTGGCTGCTTTCCCTCACTAAAAGAGCAAGCCTTAATTGGCTAATGCTGCTGGTTTTCCATTGCTATGGGAGCTGTTTGTGGCCGGGAACTGAGAGGATCCATCCCGTTCGCCAGCTCCCTCCAGACTGAGCCTGAGATGCTGGCCGCCAACTCTGTGGGCGGGACTGAGGCAATGCAGCGAGGCAATGCAGCCAGGGGATTGGTACACTTCCTGAATGACAGATCAGGGACCCAATTGTTTTGGGAGCATGTGGAACGTTCAGGAATGAGTCACCCCAAAACAGAATTATATATAAGGAGAGATGTATGGTTTTAGTTTAGCATTGTAAGCTACCACAAGGGAAATGCAAGGTATAAATATCTGAATTAAATAAATGAATTAAAAATACTTCCAGGTTTTCCAAGAGAGCAAGTACCTCACTTCCTATGCAATATGTAATAGAAAACTAATGCACATTCATGAGTAAAGCACAAATCATACATTGCCAACAAACAGGGTTACTACAGTCCCAATATCTTTTTTTTTTCCTTTAGAAAAAACAGCTGGCAGGGAGGAGAAAGGAATCTGGAGCAGTGCAGTTGCTTTCCCTGCAGGCCATTTCCCTGCTCCAAACAGCTCAGGTGGCCTTCCCTATGTGGATCCAGATGCAACTGAAGCAGTCTCTTTCCCACCATTATTTCTCCACTCCAGAAGTTGTTTTTGTTCACTACGGAAGCACCAAATGTACCTAGAAGCACTTACAAATGTTCTGCACCATGTTCCAACTGTTTCTCACTATCAGTTCCTCTCTTCTGGTACCCATCGCTGGTAAATCACTGTCTCTATTTTTTGCCTTTGGGGGGATGTCATTAAAAATTGTTCTTAGTGTGAAACACAAGGGATTTGTCACAGTTCATCTCTCTTCCCAGCAACCCCCCTACCATGTGTATTTTTGTATGTGTATGAAATTAACAGCCTGCCATTAATACACACTGCACCTTCTGTGGGACATAGGTGCATGGTATAAGACCCCATGAAGCAATCACCTTGCTGAAACTAAGCAAGTCTGTATCTATTTAGTCTCTACAGATATTTGTATCCTTTCCATCAGCTCCACTAAAGAGTATATATATTTTGAGCTGTTGTAGAATATTTATGTTTTCCAGCTTATTTATATTAAAAAACCCAGCAATCATCTTGCCTTTCAAAGCAACAGAACAGGCTAATGAAGTGGAACTGATTGAATACTGCATGCCACAGAAATAGGGTCTGATTAAACAAAACACATGGAACCAGTAGTGAGATAAACAGCATGCCCCCATGGCCATTTTCTTCTAATGAACGCGCATGTGGTGGAAGGGGAGGTTTGGTGAAACCCCTCCTACCACCACGCTTGGGAGCCAATTCCCCACCCCCATTTTAAGATGAGACCCAGGTATCGCATTAAATGCAAGTTGGGTTGGTGTTTCCCCCAGTCCAACTTGTGTTCAACAACTCATCTAATCAGACTCATAGAAGAATCTTCAGCAAGTGTCATAATGGCAGAGTGAGGGTGAGCTTCCAGCAGGGATCATGATTATAAATAGAAAGGGGTTACCAACATGTCCCTATTTTCATCTGGAAAATGTTGGATATTATGTAGTTTTGGTCTGGTTCAGACTGTAAGCTAGTCAGGACATTGGCTTTTTTATAGCTGTAAAATGCTTTCAATAAATTCTTTGGCTATGGCAGACTAGAAGTGTGTAAGAATGAAAAGTTCAAATAAAACTGGAAAGAGTCAAGGAACTACTTTCTGCTTAGATCTTAAATAAAAGGATAGCCATAAATTTGATATAAAATTATTTAATCTGTTAAATAATAGATTTAGTGCTAATATTTACTATTTAATAACATATTCTAATACTTTTTGATGATATACTTGCAAGCATAAAATTGTGAAATGCGGCATTTCACAATTTCGAAATTAGTTTTCAGTATGGAGTGATAAATAAATGTAAAATCAGCCTCATTATCTCTCTGTTACTTGTGGCTTTTATGTATATAGCAGCTAAACTAATTCTACATGCTTGAATGTAAAATTGAAGGTATAAAACAAAATGTCCCAGAGTTATGAAGTGATTTGGGTATTTTCCCCATCTTATACTGAGAGAAAAAAATCAGCCATCATTAGAAGAACCACCACTTCCCAGCTCACTTCTAAAACAGCTAGGGAGAAAAAATAGAAATAAATAGCTTCCTATGCTTTAGGAAGTTATTTCTAAGCTCTAGCGTAGTGGTCTCCAACCTTTTTGCGCCTATGGGCACCTCTGGAATTCTGACACGTGATGATGGGTGGAGTCACAAAATTGATACCACAGAGGTAGAGCCAACCATACAATCAATGCCACAGGAGGCAGCGTCAACCACAAAATGTGGATAAATATAACTGTAATAGTAGGCCAACAATTCACACAGACGCTGTTTAGTAGGATGCTTTTTAAAACAAATGTATTATTTTAAAATATTTTCCTGCATGTGCACATACACACCTTACATGTAGTGAAGTTCCTTGAGCTGCCAAAGCAATATTTTTAAAGATCTTCACAGCCAATCAGATCTCCAATGGCCAGTCAGGAACTCTGCCGGATGAAAGCCCTATCTGGCCCTGCCCACTTGTTAGAGAATGAACTTGATATTTTGCTTTATGGATTATATTTATTGCTACACACAATGAACTGTGCACAGACACACACAGGCTCAGAGAACTGTACACTTTAAGTCACCTGTTGTGATGTAACACATAAAAGGTGCCTGCACAAGCCTTACATGTGAATAAGGTTTCAGCTACACAGTTACTAGCCTGGTGAAGAAGTACACACCTCCATTATTGTGAGCAGTAAGAAACAACAACTTGAGAAGAGACAGCCCCCATTGCAGAACCAGTTGTAGTCACATACTACCCATCACTGCTTTGTTCCTGCATTGGTATTTCCTGCCAAAAGGACATTTGGTTCACAATGAGAATGGCCAGCTTCATCAACACTACAATGGAGCATCCTGACGCCAAGGTTTTCACACCTGCCCAGATGCCCTCCTTTGAGTAAGGTTTTAGATTACAATATTGGCCACTCCTGTTAGGTAACCACCCCTCCCTCCATGCAACCAATAGGATTGTTTTTGGGACGGACTAACAGGTAGGTGGGCCAGGAGGTTGGCACAGCCACCACCCACCTCCTGGATACCCCAATAAAAGGAGAGAACCAGTCACATGGTTTCTCTCTCCTACTTGATCAACTAGCATC